TATAGTTGTACTCTATATCTTAAAAATACTTCTATAATTGCTGTTAATTTAGCTTCAGTATCGACCATTTATAATGTATATCTAACCATGATGTCATTTTTATTTCAGAAATGCATTTTCTTTAATAAGAGACTCTATTCTATCTTCATAATAATTAAATTTCTCAGGTAGAACAACTCTTATCCCAAAATAATTGCTTGATCTGATTTCAATTTAGGTTCGCCTTTAGCAAACAAATATCATGAATTACTGTGCGAATTCTAAGACTTAATAGCAAATTGAAAAACATCGCTATGCATTATCATTCTACATGTGCGGTTTGAATAAAAAATGAAATACTTTAATATAAGGCAATTTTTACAAAAAAAATCTCAAAACATTGTTCAATATATTATATAATAAAAAAGCATCTTCCTGAGGATATAAACATGCTCCAGAAATAAGAAGATGGAATCGAAGAATAATGGCTAAAATTGAATCGTATTGACTTTGCAATGATACAAGTCAACATCGGCCACTGTAATTCTTAAATGCCGACTGTATAATTTAAGAATCAATGAAACTCACGATGTTTTGTGATAATTTGCAATCATTTGTTGCATACAGTAGCATATAACTCTTATTTTTTATTGTGCGATCGTTTTCGAATTGCTTAGAGACATTCGAATACCTATACGCCAGCCAGGGCTGAGGAAAACTAACTATAAAAATCTAAAAAAAAACTGATTTTTTAACTGACTTGAATTATGTAATAATTATGTAATTTCTATATTAATATAAAGAAATAATTTTTGATAAAATATTGCTTCAACACAGCCATTGTCAATTGCTAGTATATGAAATTATACGTGGTACTTTATGCTGATATTTAAATGCCAATGATCAAAAAACAATAGTGAAAAATAAAATAAAATATATAATTTGCATTGAAATGCGAGCTGATTTAAATATCCTTCTATTATATCTTCATTAATTAAAATTAATTTATTTTCCTCATAGATTAAATTTATTATTATACAAATTACTTTTCATATAACATGTGTAACATACATGGTATGTGTATATAAAATCATTATATTATTATCGAGTCATATGTATACATATGCATATGTATAACTTGCACATATCATGTTTTAATTTCAATTAGTTGTTTTAATTATTGTATTCTTGATAAGATTTTTACCTTTTGTATATGCAATTCTGATTATTTTGAATAATTCATGTGATATCAAATCATTATATCATTATTGAGTCATACGTATACATATGCCTCAATAATAAAATAATAATTTGTTATCACTTAAATTGTTCATAATAATTAGAATTGCACATAAGATGTTTTAGTTTTACCTATTTGGTTAATTATTATATTACTGATAAGACTTTCATATTTTGTACTCAATGTCTGCAAATTCCAAATCAAAAGTAGTGTGAAATGCTAATCATTAGTTTTGAAACTTGTTACTGATAATCAAAACGTTTCAACAAAATTATTACAGTCGCACACAGATTTTTTTTATTTATATAATTTATGGATATTTGCAATCAAAATATAACCTATGAGTTAATTATATATAAACAAAACCCATTAATTTTTGATTAATGTGCATACTAATTATTCTTTGCATTTTGTTTACTATCTTGATAATTTTTGTCTTCTGCTATACTAAATAATTCAATAACTAATGGTGCATGGCGTCGTGCTTAAGGCAAATTACTCAAATTTCCCGTACAAGCTTTGAAAAAATTACATTCACGAGATTTTTGAAATTTTTTGAAATTACAGAAAGCTCAAAAGCTCTTTCAGTAATAACTGTACAGCTGTACAAAAATATAAGAAGTGAGTATTCGAACATAAAAAAAGTTCTATTTGTATATATCATTTCAAAAATAATAATATAATAGAAATATAATAGAAATATCATTTTTTAGACAGATTTAACAATTTGTGAATATAAATTCGACGCTGAATATTCAAGCCTCATTTTCAAAATTCGCTTTGTCCGATTCGAATAATCCAAAAAACATTTTATTTGTATTGGCGAAGTAAAGGACTTATTAAATTTTTTAATAAAAAATGTGAAAAAATTCCATTTGGCGGTCAAAAATGATCAATAGATGCACATCAAATTATCAGATAATTTATACAGAATTTAATAATAAGAACAAATTTTGTTGATATTTCTATATGTTCCTTACCAATATCAATGTTTAATCGTTAGACTGCGACGCGGCGCTCACGCGCTTCTATAAATAGCATTGAAAATTTTTTCAAAATTTTCAAAAAAAAAAATTCAAATATAAAACAAAATCAATTTTTTGAAAAAGTTATTGTTTTCAAAATTCACAAAAATCTTTTTTGTTTTCAATGTTTTTAAAAGAATTTAAAGCTTTTTTAAAAAAATTCGAAATATAAAACAAGAACAGTTTTTAAAAATAATTTTTTTTCAAAATTCTCAAAATCCTATTTTTTTTCAAAGTGTTCAAAAGAATTTAAAGCTTTTTTAAAAATTCCAAAATATAAAAAAAACATTTTTTTAAAAAACTAATTTTTCTCAAAAATCCAATTTTTCAAAGTTTTCAAAAAAATATTAAAATATAAAACAAAAACATTTTTTTGAAGAAGTCTTTTTTCAAAACTCTGAAAAATTTAATTTTTTCAAAGTTTTCAAAAAAAAATTAAACTTTTTTTAAATTTTCAACAAATTTCAGAATATAAAACGGAATCATTTTTTTTTAATAAGTCTCATTTTCAAAATTCTCAAAAATATAATTTTTTCAAAGATAAGAAAAAAATTTAAAGCTTTTTTTAAAAAAAAAATCATAGTAAATGTTTATGGGTTTAAATAGCTTCTTTTCTTCAGCTATCTCGAGATGGACAAACCCTCGAATGTGCAAGAAATGAAAACATTTTCGAATTCTGAATCGTAAGCGAGAAGCGAGAAGATCGCCGGCACAAGCGATCCTTTCCCCGGTGTCGGTTGGTTCTCCGGGAGCGCTGCTTCGTACCGTCCAACGTGTCGGCATTGATCCATTGATGATAATGATAGAGTCATTTGCCGATTGAAATAACGTTTAATTATACTTTATTACAGTTAATAAAGTTTTACGCGGCGGTCAATAACGTCCGCTAACATGCAACATATAATATCTTTTATTACACGCCGCTGCATCGGATTCGTTCTGAATTATCAATAACAAATTATATATTCGCAATGCTAATGCGGTACACCGAAGTCGGTTGCTCTCGAAGAAGACGGCGAAAGATAGTGCATTTCGAATATGCTAATTGAATATAGGTGGATACGGGATATACAATGCTAAAGAAAGATATATCATACTCGGAGCAAAAACGTTTAGTTTGCTATTATTGTTCAACACTTTGTACTCTTTATTTTCTCAAGTTGTTTCATCATGCAATGGAATTATAGATGCGAAAAGTCAATACAACACACGAGCGAACAAGAAAAGCTTACCATGAGCAGTGTCTCTCGTTGGGATATACCGATAAAGTATGAAGCTACTAGTTCAGCGTGCAAATTGGTGGAAATTCCCGTATTACGGTAATAATATTTAAATATAATTTTTCGAGTACCTACTAATAATAAAATTTTCTAAAAGCTTTAAAATTTTGCAAAGAAGTTAGTTTTTTGATTTTTGATTTTTTTGTAATTTTATTTTTTTATTTAGAACAAAATCGACTTTTTTGAAACATGTAAATTTTTTTAAAAATTTTGAAAGATCGGTTTATCCACACTGTCAAAAATGTCGAGAATATTTGTTTAAACTGTATAAGCGAACTGTATTATAAATCTTGGTACGGAGCCCAAATAATTTGAAACTTGAAACTTTGAAATTCTTGAAATCTCTATTAAATATCTGATAATTTGATGTACCTACTAATTATCATTATTGACCACCAAATAGCATTTTTTCAACTGTTTTTTGGATCTCCAAAACCGCGGAACCTACCTTCCAAAATTTCAGGCAATGTTTATCCCGTTAATACGAGTAATATATTATTTGGATCAAATTGGACGCTCCTTTCTCACAAACTGAATTGCCCTAAATTACTCTTTTTGCACTTCTTTTTCCGTATTTTCGAAACGACTGGACCTACCTTCGCCAAAAACTAATCAGTCACCCATCAATAGGAATCGAATATTTCTTGAACAATTCAAATTTGGTAATCCGTGTTCTCCAAATCGTCGACATCCAATATACATATCCATCGTGTATCCAATATACATACATACATGCACCCACATACATCCACTTTTTCTAAAAGGTATGACGAAATGTTCACAAACCCTTGAAACGTAAAAATATGGAACAATTTTCAGATGCCATTATCTAAAGCATTTGTTGTGAAACTTTGAAAGCTGAGAGGACATTAATGCCACAAACATCTCTTTACAAATTCATTTATAGATAAAAGACAAAATCACATTTAGTTCTAACAAATATTAAAAAATTTAATTAATGATAGAGACTTGAAATAAACTTTAGATAACTCAAAAGCCATACGCACAAACACTGCAAATGTTGTTGTGTGAATCAAAACACAAAAACGTATTAAAAACCATAAAAAAGCGCGACATCATACACATAAGGGAGTGGTATTGCATAAAGGATGTTGTTTAATACGGCGATCGTTTAAATTATCGCTCCAGGCGTGTAGAGATACATCCATACGGCGTGTAAACAGTTACGTCAAGTGCGTCAAGTCGAATTCTAACCCCACTTTTTGAGGATTTGTTGATGACAGATGCTTAAGTGCGGAATTTGTGAATGTTATTATCAATTAAAATAGAGCGTATTAAATAATAATTTATTTGTAATAAACAATTTGGTTCAGCTTTTAATGAATACATAAGTATGGAATCTTCGAAGAAATTTATAGAATGTTGTATTGAAATGAAAAAGTGAAATGGTAAGTATCAGTTTTAGAATTTATTAATGAACTGAATTATTCAAATTTTTATTGTAAAATTAATTACAGATGGATGAAATGATTCCATTGAAATTGCTTCTGAGAACTGTGACTTGAAAATTTAATTTCTCTTCAGATGCAAAGGTTCTTAGTTTTGAGGTTAGTTTGAGGTTGAAAATGTAATTCTCAATTTGTACGATGTGTCTTAATTAATTTATCATTATATTTTCAGATATGAGGAAAATAGATCAAACAATCAAATTAAAATGAAAGATTTACAGAAATTCATTAAATACATTAAAGGCAGGAATGTATCACAAGTAGAAAATTTATTCAGAATTTACTGAGTGATCGAAGGCCCTAACTGGAAAATAAGGTTCAACGAATAATTGGTATAATAAATAAATTTTCTTCACTCGAACATAGTGAAATGACAATAGTTTTTTTAGTGTTGTACTATATTTTATTTTATTTCATTTTAGGTGTTTTAGAGGTTTTGAATTCAAAAAGTTTAGATGGAAATCTTTTGATAAATACAATATGACATGATTGAAAATCTCACGAATGCATTCTCTATAGAAAGTAAGAATGCGAAAGTAACTTTTATCTCATTTCATTGAAGAAAACAACTACAAATTTGGCAATAAAAAAGTTAATTATTACACTACACATGAAATTATATCTCGAGCTATCATTGTAACGGATGACAAAATTAAGATGGAAATTAATAATCGGATAATAGATTTTGGATGCTACTTTGTATGGCACAGATTTTAACCCCATGCTTATTCAAATGCATTAAAAATATTGAATAGAAGAACAAGACCTGAAAGCATAGAAGCAGAAATTTTAAAGAAAAATTCATAAAAGTGAATAAAAAATGATTAGTTTAAAAACTGTAATGAAAATAATAAACAGAGGAGCAAAAGGAAATCATTGATTTGTTGTGCTCTCATACGATGGACCTGTTTTCGGCCAAACTACTATTAATTATCATTATATTGAATTTGAAATATTGGGAACAGTAACAAATAATAAAACTTAACATTGATGAAATTTGTGCACGCTATATAAAAAAGGCAGATAAACTATTTTAAATACATTTAGATAATTCTTTTCTAGGATTTTTGTTATTAATTATATTTCATGATAAATTTGTTCAATTTTTAGTTACATATAATTAATATTGTCACTAATTTAATTTCAAAAATAATTCATCAAAATTATTGTAACATAAAAAGTAACAATATTGTAATTTTTGTAAAATTCTGATTTTGATTTGGAATATAATAATACATATAACCTTATTATTTTATAATGTCTATTTATTTCAATAAAATATAGTCATTGTGGTACTACAAAGCGTAGATTGTAATTATTAATATTAAACATTCTTCAAATAAGCATATGGTTAACACCCCACGACGTCGCGTTCTCGTGATAACACACCCGTCGGGGCGGTTTCATAGTATCACACCCGATCGGTGTGTTAGTCGAAAACACACCAAAAAGTAGATCAAAAGTGACTACATACAAATATCACCCCTTTTCGTGTTATTGTACGCGACATACGTTTGCAGTGAAGTTCTTAACTATAAGTCAACTGTAAAAAAACGTTAATCAATGTACCTACATACACTATTATATTGCACTAAAAACAAATAGACATAATTAATCAGATAAGATAATAGGAGATTAGGTCATAACAGTCAAAACAATTTCTGATAATCTACTGTTTTGAACTTATAGATAAAAATAATTCAATACTTTCACATTTTTAAAAAATATCAATAGACGGGAATATCGATATTGCTAATGTCTATATGAACTTTATGAGATGTAAATATCGCCATACAGTATCAAATTTAGTTTCATACGAATTAAATGCTCATCAAAGATAGCTTGAGCAAAATTTTCAGAATTTGTTAAATCATTAACGCAGAAAATCATTAACATATTTTACCCAGATACTTTTTAAAAATATCCAACAACCAAAAATAATCATATCAAATAAATTAAAATTGTATAAAAGTATATAACACACAATTAAATAAAATATTTTCTATGGTCGTTTTAAAATATTCAAAGCATTTGATAATCTACGTGTAAATAATACAATCTTAAAGGCAATCACTCATTCTTCGATATCAAAGCCCAGCCATAAAATACATCTCGAATCATAAATTATATATCGATTTTCGTGCATTATCACGCACGTACTCTGTATTAATAATGATAAGTCTTTACAATCTATCCATTAATACTAGAGCACTGGTCTTGAATAAATTACCGAGGCCGACGTCGCCTACATACAGATTTTACGCAGAAATCATTTTTCTCCTTTAGTCTTATTAAAACACCGAATTTATGACGGTAAAATGGTATTCATGGCTTCTGAATATAAGCAGTATGACGAGGCATGTATGTGATTAACATATGATAAATAAATAATAATAAATAATATTATAAAGATAATAAATTCAACATCTTATAGATACTTATTAATTCAACAAATTTATTTTGCAGACCGAACTCTATAAATTTGATTTTTTTTATTTTTCTTTTGAATAATAATTGATATACATTACCGTTTAAAAAAAAAACAATAAAAACGTAAACAATCAAGGCAATATTTTAATTTATACAGAAGGGAAGTTGCATGATTTTTATTTAAATTACAAATTTCGGAGATAACAATTGAACCGGGTTCGATACCCACATCGGCCAGCTTGATAGTTGGCAGTTGCACCAGATTTTCTCTTGAAAATATAAATTTCAAAAATAATATCAACTAAAAATAGCTTCTCACTCTCAAAATAATGCTCGAGTCTTTTCCACGACATAAGTCAGGCCGTTGATAAAGTTTGGAATGAAGATCTAATAGACAAATTAAAGGAGACTTTTCCAGACAACTATTATATACTTCTAAATTCATATTTGTGTGATAGAGTTCTTCGACTGTTTCAATGATGCATCATCTGTTGTCAGAAATACTTATTCTAGAGTTCCACAAGGTAGAGTTGTCGGTCCGATGCATTACATTATATATACCCACAAATCCAGAAACCATGATTGCACCTATAGCAGACGATACTCGAATTTTAGCTCAATATGATAATTCTTGCATCCAAATACTACTTTTACCCTTTACCCTACTTTAAGGTTTATGCCCTCCTATTATATTGAAAGGTGAACTAGTTCATGTACAGTTAAATATCTTATAGCTCTTCGAATAGAAAACAACTGAACCCAAAAAAATGTAGATATTATTGCATAACGAAGAAAACAAATGCTGATATTATTAACAAATGTAAAGAAGCAAAAAGCTACGTAAAATTTTACGTAGCACTTGTTCGTGTTCACCTTCATTATTATCAATAATAGCTGGTTAATGCAACTAAAAATTCACGACGATATATAATGTGAAGTACTAAAAATATTAATGTCTATGAAAATCCATGGCATGAAATATTATACTATAAAAAGTATCTTTAAACTAATAATTAAGCTTGTTCATAAACGTCTGCAATTTCCATTTCCTTCTATTACAACGCCGTTGAAAGCGTATAGTAAAAGAGCTAATGAAAATAATCATTTTGAAAAACAATGTACATATTTGAATTTGTTACTTTAGTTTATTCAAAAGCTAAAATTAAAGTTTTGTGTAAATGAAGTTAAGTTCCAGAAAAGTAAATTTTATTAATAATTCTTTTTTGATGAGATCTGTTCATATTTTTATAATATTATTAAGTTGTGAGATATAGTATCGAAGATGTATATTTTTCATTATGTACTAAAATAGTTCTAATATATCATTAGTACCCACTAACAATAAGGGAAAGCGACGATAACAATTTTGGTTTGATTAAAATATGCCAATGCAACAAAATAAATAAATGCCACCAATTGATAATACTAGAATAATAATAATTTTCAATAATATATTAAAACCCCTACGATAGTATATAAAATGTGATGGTTTTCTGAACATATTGTACGCCTTATAAAAATAATTATATGCTTTTATGTATATTTAGTATGATATGTTATGCGGAAAATATCTCAACTAGAATAAAATGATTCAAAACAATTGGATTTCAGAAAAGCGGCAGAAAAATGGTAAATAATTATGATTTCTACAGAAAAATTGCCTTATTTGAAAATAATGCTATTTTTTGAAAACTGATTATTTTTTTGAAAATTTTGAAATTCCTTGAAAGTTTTATAGACCTATTCATGTCGGTTGATCCATACAGTCGAAAATATCTGATTTTTTCACCGCTCTTAATGGGATTTTTTTTTCAACTTCTCTTACTAAATTTTCGAAACCGCTGGATCTACCTTTGCAAAAACTTAATCAATTCTTCATCACGTCAAACAAGTTGAATGTTTTTTTCAATCAAACAAATGGGATGCTCCGTTCTCTCACAAACATAATTTCCATTTTAGCCTGCTTTATTGCGCTTCTCCGAAACCAACTTTTATCAGAAACTAATCACCAAGTCCCCTTATCAATAGAAATCGAATGCTTTTTGAATAATTTAAATCGGTTGAGCTGAGCTCTCGAAAACGTCACACACACAAATACACGCACATACACATCAATTTTTCTAAAGTATGGCAAAATGTTCAGAAATCTCTCAAACGTAAAGATATGCAAACATTTTCATTTTCGTTATTTATACGATTACTATACCTTACCTTACGGGAAATTAAAAAAATAGCTTTTCTCCAATTATTACAATCATTAAATTAAATTAGATATTCATTACAATTTCTAGCTCTCCTACTATCAACACTTTTCGCAACAGCGGAAACTTAGAAGTCTAAGAGGAGCGTATTAAGATTCTCGGAGTGAAACCTCCCCGGAATATAGGATGGGGTTCTGAGGCTGTAATGTGAGGTGGCGGAATGTTAGCCGTTCTGCGGTAATTCACTAGGATTTAATTTAAATTAGTTTCGAACCGCGTAGCTCGTCCCCAGAAAACACCCTTTTCTCCGTCGGTCGTTAGGCGAAGTCACGGTATCTCGCTCTGGCAACGCGGAACATCAGCAGCAGCGTAGACGCGCGATGAGTAATTGAGAATTACGAAGTGACGAAAACTGTTATGTAAACGCGGGTTATTTTATTAAACTTATATCAGGTGTGTTCAAAAATTAAAAAAAGACTGGATAAAAAAAATAGTCATCTCATTTAAACTTTAAATGTACCAATTTTTCCTAGAAACTATTAAAATTAATTTTTAGAACAAAAAATAAAATGTATTGAATAAATTGAATTAACCCTTGTAGGCCCCCGTAACTTTCAGATCACATTCCAAATTTTTCGACATTTTACCAAATAATTATGATTTTTGCGTTAAATGTCAAATATTACCTCTAAAATGTTGTAGACAACCAATATCTATATTTATGATATTTGTTTGTCTTTTCAACCTGAAATAACATTTTTATAGACAAAGATGCGAACATTATAGGCCGATGTAACTTGAAAGTCACATAATTGATTAACAAAAATTTTTTTAAAGAGATTTTTTATTTTTTATTCGCATATATAGACTTACAATTACTTATTTTTTTGAGGTTTTAATAAAGTAATACTTACTATAACTGAAAATTTGTTCAAATAATATCAATTGGAAATAGAATTGATTAATTTTTGATAAAAAACAAAACATTTATTTTCGAAATAAGCAGTCTCAATGTAATTTAAATAGCT